CGATGCAAGGTCATACAGAGTTGTGCGAAGTCTTATTTTGATCAGAAACGTTTGCTCTACAAAGCTGTGTTTTCAGAAAAATTTTAATTGCATAAGTATCCAGGAAAAAACCATTATTTGAAGACCCGTTTTTTCGAGGCTCTTAGGAAACTTGCTCAAAACCCCGGAAAAACCACTTTTGTAACCAAAAGCAGTACAGATTCTGGAAGTAGACACTTCAGGCAATCTTTTCATGTGCGTATCTCAAAATCGATCTTTTGACCGAAAATCACCATTTCTGAGGGGGGGAGGCCCTTAAATTAAAATTCAGCGTGTTTAGATTAAACAAAGAAGTATTTGTATGTGAGGGAAGAGCTTTTAAACTAAATTCACGCGCTTAAAATGTTCTTAAAATTGCTTTTATTTACCATACAGAAAAAAATGCAACTTACCTGAGTTTTTGTTTCTGCTTGAAGGGTCGAAGGCGCGCATCTTTGCAGAATAGAGGCGTTGATCCTCGTCGGCGCGTGAAGGCTACCCTGATAGACAAGTTTGTTGTTGTTTTTTTCAAAATAACTATCTCTTGAATAAAAAAAGTAACGGAAAGTGTTCCAAGAATGCTTGCCAAAGAAACGGCATAAAAAGAATGTTAAAAAAACCTTGTATGATAGAAAATCCTTTTTGTAGAATCTTTTCTGAGCATCCAAAAATCTAACCAGCAACTATGAAGTGGTAGGCCGGCCCTGATGAAGAGGAGGGTTCTGCCAATGGACTTGATAGTTACTGCAGATATTCAAATGACTCAAACAAAGGATGTATTGAACTGAGATTTTTGAAAGGCTGCATTCTTGGAAATAGTTCTTTTATAGTGTTAGAGCGAAAAAGAAAACGGAAATAAATAGTTTTGGAGAGTAGAAAAGTATTGTGAAAAAAGAAACATGCGAGAAAACACTGAGAGGTATGGACTGTGGTTTCAAGTACTCCGTAAAATGTAGTAGTATTCATCCCCTATTTTGTTGTCGGGAAGGAGGTCGCTTAGCTGGCGACTGAATCTGTTCTGAAGCAGAACGTTTGACTCCTGAAGTTGGAGGTCGAGGTTTTGTTGAAGAGGAAGATGTCTGAATTTGCTCACTTAGAACCTTTTTGCTTTTTTCACGTAGTTTTTTACGAATAGAAAGTTTTTCTTCCACCAAATCCTCTTTGAATGCTTCTTATCTATGTCAATATCATTAAGCGGCTGAATTTTTTGACGCTTTGCCTTTTCGCGGGAGAACAATTGGCGAATTTGGTTGACTGTAAGCCACCCTTGTGTGGTGAAAGTATAGTGCCCTTCCTCTTGACGTTCATGGATTTCATCCACAACTTCTTGGGGCTTCCAGCGAACTCCTCGCCTTATCCCATCATCAAACTTCAGTGTAAGAAAATAAATCATTTTGTCGCCCATTCGGGTTACTTTTCTTTGCTTTGGATTAGCCCATCCAATTGACAGAGAGGCACCCTTTTCGGTAATTTTAGCTGCGCAAGCAGAAAGTTCTAGGTTGAGAGAAACAATCTGCCTGTCACCTATCTGCTCAAGTTTCGATTTATATAACTGAATGGCAGTGTCAGCGAGAGTTTGAACGTTCTGACACGCAAACCTCACCGCAAGCCATGTAGGCTAGCAAGTTTCCTTATCAAAAAGAACTGTCTCATACAGCCCTCTTTCCAACAATCGAAAACGCTGTCTGATCGAATTTTTTGAGAAAGGAGGACAGGTGAAGTGGTGGTGGCTGCGGAGCTACTAGTCGGAATTTCATTGCCAGCTACTGATTTCCGATTCTGTGACCATTCATGGGGAAAGATGCTAGAATTAGTCACTCGAAAGGGATTTTTCTCCAAATTTGAGGTTCTTCCACTTTATTAATCTGCCTGAGCCTACCTTCCACGATCTGTGAACAACTACTCTCTCTTTGGTGAATTGAAAGTTGCTGAAAAACGTGATTAGGGGGAACTGAAATTTCACTTGAGTTTTATTCTCTTTGAGAACTTCTGCTCGGACAGCTTTTACCCCTGAAACTCCCCCATTAGATTGAGCAGCATTGACAAATTGGGTGGCAGTTTCTACATCATTTTTCTCGTTCAGATGTCGGCGAACATTTCCGTTTACTACAGAACACCTATCACAAACGCTCTTTCCACCCTGAGGGTCGCAAAAATCGTAAATATATCGCGTCGAAGATGACCTTTGTTATATGAACGGAAGGGTTGATGAAGAATATATTGGTAAACTAAGCTTATATCTAGAGATGATATATTTACGTCGCATATATTATTTATTTATTTTAATCTAGGTGCACTAAAATAAAATAAAACACATACTCGAATTTTCTTCAACTCTTTCATCGTTCTAGTTTAGTCGAGTGAGAGAGAAATAGACAAAGAAAACATTAAAGTAGAGGTATAAATATATTTCAAGAATAAGAATGGCACATTACAGTTTTAACATCTACTGTACACATTACATTTTAAACGAGAATTGCTTTTGTATATACACATTTTGTTGTATTAATTTTATACGAATTTTATTTTATTTTGTTTTATGTTACACTGAAGAAGATTGCACATTGTAATCGAAAACGTCTAACTGTTTATTGTAAATAATAAATTTTACGAAGACAAAGTATATCTTATAGGAAAAAACGAAAAATATAAATGAACTAACTTTGCAAGGGAATCAAAAGCTTCTGAAGCATCTAATGCAAAATAGTTGAGATCCTGAAGACTTTTTCTCTGCGATGCCTTACACATCTCAAGTATTTTATAGAGACTTCTGTCACCGAGAGAAGAAAAGCCCGGCTCATTTTCGAGAATATAAGATTTGTATTGTTGAATAATACGCGTGGCACTCATATTTCGAATAGTATTAGGCACAAAAATATGGGATCCATCAGTGAGTTTCAACTTCTGTTCCCCAAAAGGCATGTCCGTGCACACATGTTCACTTGTGACAAAATCTAGGAAACTTTCCAGCTGTGCCTCTGAAAATCTCTGTGTGTGCACAGGTTCGAGTTCTAAAGTCACCCCGACTCCCACTGTGGCTGCATGTATTCGCGCTGCTGTAAATCTGTACAGGGTTAAGCCAGGAATAAAAGATTGAATGAGAGAATAGCTCAGTTTTGGCACGACTACCGATAAAATCTCTCTTCTCATTGTCCAGTGATCAGCGTTTGTGTATACATCTCTTATCCCTTTCCAATAAAAACTGATTTATACGAATTTTATTTTATTTTGTTTTATGTTACACTGAAGAAGATTGCACATTGTAATCGAAAACGTCTAACTGTTTATTGTAAATAATAAATTTTACGAAGACAAAGTATATCTTATAGGAAAAAACGAAAAATATAAATGAACTAACTTTGCAAGGGAATCAAAAGCTTCTGAAGCATCTAATGCAAAATAGTTGAGATCCTGAAGACTTTTTCTCTGCGATGCCTTACACATCTCAAGTATTTTATAGAGACTTCTGTCACCGAGAGAAGAAAAGCCCGGCTCATTTTCGAGAATATAAGATTTGTATTGTTGAATAATACGCGTGGCACTCATATTTCGAATAGTATTAGGCACAAAAATATGGGATCCATCAGTGAGTTTCAACTTCTGTTCCCCAAAAGGCATGTCCGTGCACACATGTTCACTTGTGACAAAATCTAGGAAACTTTCCAGCTGTGCCTCTGAAAATCTCTGTGTGTGCACAGGTTCGAGTTCTAAAGTCACCCCGACTCCCACTGTGGCTGCATGTATTCGCGCTGCTGTAAATCTGTACAGGGTTAAGCCAGGAATAAAAGATTGAATGAGAGAATAGCTCAGTTTTGGCACGACTACCGATAAAATCTCTCTTCTCATTGTCCAGTGATCAGCGTTTGTGTATACATCTCTTATCCCTTTCCAATAAAAACTGACGTTTTAATCCATTTTTTTTACAAACGCTATGAAAAGTCATGTTGAGTTTCGCGTTCCAAAACGTTTTCTTTTTAGATGTGTGGAAACTAGAACAACAGCTATGGCGTTGCGTCGCGTTTGTGAAAAAAACGGAGTAAAATGCCAGTTTTTATTTTTGCATTTCAACGCATTTGTAAAAGAAACTCAGTTTTCCTCGGTTTTTTTCACGAACGCATCGAAATGCCATGTTTAATTTCGCATTCCAAAACGTTTTTTTTTAAACGTATCGAAACTAGAAAAGAGATATGGTGTCTCTTTTCGTTTTCCCTTGAAACGCGTAGGAAAGCGTTCTCTCATCTTATGGTTTCTGTGCGTTGAGAAAACAAACGGAAAGCAAAGCATTTTTCTAGTTTCTCGTTTCAACACTTCTAGGAAAAACCGGATAAAAACACGTTTTTTTTATTTTCTCGTTTTGGTGAGACAAGTCATGTAGAAAATTTGGCAATGGGTGGTTGATGAAGACATAGAAATATTAGATATCTGAAATAACTATCTGAAGTGTTCACTTCGTAATTATTAAAGCTACAGAAAATGAAGATTAGTGCATGATGACATTTTTCCAAAGTCTTTTTACACAGCATACGTTGATTGATTAACGAACTATCTCTCTCTATTATTTGTAGCAGAAAAAATATAAATAAGAAAAATCTAATGAGACAGATAATCAACTTGTTATAATGTCAAGTTTTACTTCACAGGAAGAAAATTTGTTTAATTAAAATACGCATGATAACACTATGCTTTGCAAAATATATAGTCCAACTTTGAAAAAATGTCATTATACACTAATCTTCATTTTCTCTAGCTTTAATAATTACGAAGTGAACACTTCGGATAGTTATTTCAGACCTCTAATATTTCCATGTCTTCATCAACTAGTACACTTGCTGCAATGGCATCTGCACAAACATATTTATTTCAATTTGGTGGTCCAATTTTGATTCTCATTGGTACTGTAGGGTCCATATTAAATCTAATTATATTTAACCAAAAGAATCTAAGAAAAAATCCATGTTCAATCTATTTTATTGTATACAATCTTGCTAATTTTGTGTATATTTATTGTTTATTATTTTCTTTAACATTAGCAGTTGGATATAACATTGATCCTAGTGCACACAATCTGGTTATTTGTCGTGTACGCCTTTATATAAACGTTTTATTCAATGTATTAAGTCCATACTATTTAATTTTGGCTTCGATTGATCGAATTTTGGTGACTTCACGAAATGCTCTTACACGACAGCGAAGCACTCGTCGTCTAGCCTTTATATGTGTTACAGGTGGAACATTATTTTGGGCATTATTTCACAGTCATGCATTGATTCTCGCGAATATTACACAACTTGGCCCTATATCTTTTTGTTATTTTCAACAAGGTGTTGAACTCACTTTCGCAGGTTACTATTCGATTATCAAAGAGCTTTTAGCACTATCATTAATGATAATATTTGGATTATGGGCCATCACGAATATACGAAGTACACACCGCGTTACGGCTGCTACTACTTTATCTGTAAGCAAGACTCTCGCAGAAGGTGGTGCACATTCTACTTCTTCATCTTCAAAAAATCGACAATTGGCTTTAATGTTAGTTATGGATATCATTATTTATACTCCATTTAGTTTTACACTTGCAATATTTCTCATGTATCAACAAATTACACAAATTTATATCAAAACTATTGAGCAAGTACTAATGCAAACGATTCTTACAAATCTATTTCTGTTCATTGCTGGTGTTCCATTCTGTACTAGCTTTTATGCAAATTTAATTATTTCGAAATCATTTCGAAACGAAGTGAAGAAATTATTTTCATGCCGATCACTTTTCTGTATGCACTGAACTTCAATTATTTATATTAAACTAACAATTGTATGTTGTAATAATGTATCTTCTTTGCTTATGTGTATTGCTCATAGTTAGAAATACATCCTAACAATATATAATTAATTATTTACTACTGGTATTTCATATTGAATGGAATTGAAATCTTCAATCTTGATAATAAAGCAGTTAATCAGACTGTCTTATCTACCTATCATTCTTTCTCTCTCTTCATAGACATTTCTTTCGTTAGAAGGACATTCTGTTTACATTAATTTGTAAGATTAAAGTTTGCCTTTTTCTGTCATATAAACACATGAGACAAAAAGATGAATCGATTCACCTTTTCAAGATTAAAAACATATGTCTAATTTAATTGTTTTTATCTGTGTAGTTATTTACACAATTCTATCTTGCAACGTTGAAAAAATGTGTAGATATTACTTTCTAGGTTAGCCAGCAAGTCTATGGTATAGCACAAGTCATTTTTATTAGCCCACATTAAGAAAATAACGGCGTTCAATGAAAATAATAACAGCTTTCTTTGAAAAACTAGAAGTGATTCTTTACTGTCAGGTAAACGTAACAAGCAAAAGGGAAATGAGAACAACTCGATTGTAGATACTTGATAAAACTTGTCAGCGAAGCCCGTTCGGGGCTAAAATGTGGTGCTCAAATATCTTCGCCGGAAATATACTAAATGACCTTTAACGTAAAATTATTGCTGAAAATATCAACTATCATTATGAATTTGATGAAGCGGCTTTTCTCATTATAAAACAATACTTGACATTATATTTCATAGAGTTTGTTTCGTCACTTATTAGATTTTTTTGTCATATTTTTCATATTACAATGCATAGAAAAAACAGTTCGTTCAATAAACATTCATTTTCAACCCTCGACTTAAATTGGTTTTTAATGATCTGATCAGCCATACGATATCTCATGTCTTCATCAACCGATATACTTACTGCAATTACAATGCATAGAAAAAACAGTTCGTTCAATAAACATTCATTTTCAACCCTCGACTTAAATTGGTTTTTAATGATCTGATCAGCCATACGATATCTCATGTCTTCATCAACCGATATACTTACTGCAATTACAATGCATAGAAAAAACAGTTCGTTCAATAAACATTCATTTTCAACCCTCGACTTAAATTGGTTTTTAATGATCTGATCAGCCATACGATATCTCATGTCTTCATCAACCGATATACTTACTGCAATTACAATGCATAGAAAAAACAGTTCGTTCAATAAACATTCATTTTCAACCCTCGACTTAAATTGGTTTTTAATGATCTGATCAGCCATACGATATCTCATGTCTTCATCAACCGATATACTTACTGCAATGGCATCTATACAAACATATTTATATCAATTTGGTTATCCACTGGTGCTTATCGGCGCCGTCGGTTGTATTGGATTTAATGGTATTTAACCAATAGAATCTACGAAAAAATCCATGCTCAATCTGTTTTATTACCTACAATCTTGCTTACTTTGCATACATTTGCTTTTCATTATTACCTATAATACTGAGTCTAGGATATAACATTGATGTGAGTACATGCAAACTAGTTTTGTGTCGTGTGCGTCTCTACACAACTATTGTTTCGAATGTTGTAAGTCCATTTTATTTTATTTTGGCTTCGATTGATCGCATTTTATTTACTTCACGAAACACTCTTACACGATTGGGAACAAACAGTGTATCCCACCTGGACACATGGTTTTAAATTAGCGTGGATTAGCGACATATTCATATTCGAGGAGGAAAAACACCTAACTACTACTTTTTTCGGCAGGGAGACATACAGAGTCCGAAACGAAAAATGTCAGAAATTAGATTTCACATCTTTTATCTGCTGGTACAAAACTCGTCAATTAGCAAGTAAAACGCTAATTTTTGATAATCAGCATTTCTCGCCATGAAGTTTGGCTCCGTAACCAAAAGTATCAGAGATTAAATTTCCTATATTTTATCTGCTGACATCAACTCCGTTTGTGGTATGGTGCAATGGCTGACTGCTGAATATGCTTTATTCCCTTGACTGAGAGTTAGTGTCATATAAACGAAATGCCCGTCCGCCCGTCTAACCGTCCGCAGTACATTACCTAATTACTACTTTTTCCGGCAGGGCGACATCCTGGATGTGCGAGTCCGAAATAAAAAATGTCAGGAATTAGATTTCACACATTTTACCTCACAGCACAAAACTCGTCAATTAGCGAGAAAAACGCTAATTTTTGATAATTAGCATTTCTCGCCATGAAGCAAGCATCTGATAAAAACAACTAAACTTCATGTCAGCAGTTAAAATATGTGAAATTTACTTTCGGATACTTTTGGTTGTGGAGCCAAACCTGTCAGATGCTTGCTTCATGGCTGGAAATGATAATTTTGAAAAATTAGCGTTTTTCTCGCGAATTAAGGAGTTTTGTGCCAGCAGATAAATTGTGTGAAATCTAATTTCTGACATTTTTCATTTCGGACTCGCACATCTAGCATGGCTCCCTGCCGAAAAAAGTACTAATTAGCTGTTTTTCCTCCTCGAATATGAACATAACGCTAATCCACGCTAATTTAAAAGCAAGTGTCACTACTCTAGTGCGGACGGGTGGACGGACGGACATTTCGTTTATATGATCTTGGCTTCCAGTCAAGGGAATAAAGCATATTCAGCAGTTAGCCATTGCACCTTACAACGTCCGAAGTTGATGTCAGCAGCCAAAATATGTGAAATTTAATTTCTGACACTTTTGGTTGCGGAGCCAAACTTGTCAAATGCTTGCTTCATGGCGGGAAATGCTAATTATCGAAAATTAGCGTTTTTCTCGCTAATTAACGAGTTGTGTGCCGGCAGATATTACTAGCAACGGATTTTCAACAGGTATATTCTCATTTTTTATTGTTTACCGTTTTTTCGGTTATTGGCAACGAAATCTTTCTTCTCTTTCCATTTGAGACTGCGAGAGCAAATATTTACGAGGTATTCGTCTGATATCAGGATTTTTTGCTGATCTTCCCAATACACGATTATTTGAAAATCCAGATGCATTCGTTGATAGAATGATTCCAACATGAACATGGTTTTTTTTACGGAATCGACAACTGCTGTTGTTCATACAAGATCCAATTCATGTAACTACAAAATGGCGAAACAGAATGTTATCTAAAACAGCACAAATGATAATGGGTCAACAAACAGTCAGTTTACAATATTTAGCCGATGTTATTGATGATGAGAAGTTATCGAAGATTGATCATGAATTAATAATAAGCGATTTAAATCCTAGAGATCGTCAAAATTTTCATTCATGTTTAAAAATAACATCTGAAGATGTATCACAAATTTTACGTGATAATTCTGATACACAAGCAATTTATGTGTATCTTCAATTATTAAAATATATTGTTGTTGCTTATGTTTATAAGTCTACACCTATCAATGATCGTTTATACTATTCGTGGTTGGTTGTTTTCGTTTCGGTCAATGTGGATAAAATGCAAATCATGTATTAATAAAGCAACATCAACATCAGATAAAAAAAGGATAAATATTTTGTTACCATGCCGGCATATTGATCTGTAGAAATTAATGCACATAATATATTATATTTAATTCTATTGGTTCAACAACAACAATTACCAAAACATGCATTAAATGTTTTTCTGTTTAATTCTCAAGCGTGTGAATCAATTTTTAGAAATGCACATGCATTAAGCGGTTGCTGTTCAACAAGAGTAAACTTCACAATCGATGATTTTCTTCTGCGAGCTGAAAAAATTGCGATATTACATCAAATTGAATGTATCGAACAATCGAACGATCAAGAGAATCATTTAATATTTCCTGTCCATCATAAGCATAAAAAAGATAATTTATTACCACTTCAAAATTTAATCAATATTGATGATTTGGACGTCGAAGAAATTATTTCAAAGGCATATAAACAAGCAAAAAAATATATTGATCCCTTAAAAATGTCAACATTGTTGAGGCAAAATCATGCATATGAGCTAAATGATTTAAGTACAAATGTTAATAACTATTTGAAAACAACAAGTAAAATGAATGATCGTTTCGGATTCGATTTTCATTCCGATGTGGATGAAAACACATCAACTGAGGAAGATGACAACGATGATGATGATCAAGACCATAATTGTGATTCCGAGATAGCAGACGATGACGATGATGATAATGAGAATAATACAATTGCAATGGAAAAAATAGTATTTAATGGAATAAGAATTAGAAATTCAATTGATACAAATTTTTAAAGAATCCTATTTTCAAGTTAACCTAAACAATACTGTAAAATATATTCGTAAACAGACTGCTTGTTGGATGTTAACAGAGAAACAAAATCGTTTATCAAGTGATAGATTATCAAGAGTGATGGATCTGAGTAAAAAAGAAGGAATGAAATAAATTAGTATTTCTAGAACTAATGTTTTCAGTCATTTGTAAAGAGTGTTAATTGACCCTCGCATAGCCACAGAATCGAGGTTAAAAACGACTGTAAACAACAACAAAAAATTCATTTTCTACTCACGAATGATCCAAATTAACAAACGACTTACTACTTGATGCAAAAATACTGAGAAAAAACGGTTCTTTTGAAGAAGTAAGAGGCATTTCATGAGACTCCACTTGACTCCAGCTGACTCCACACTACTGGAGTCCACTATTTCCCCCTTGCATTGGAAAGAGCATCAATCGACAGACAATGGAATTCTGCATCGAATAGACCATCATTTTAGAGAGTTTTATTAGGTGACATTAGTAAACAGGAGAGCAAAACTACTCTAAAACCGTTGCTTACTGACGGATAAATAACTAGATTTTGAGCTTTTTTAAGATTTCTTCAAGCACAACACATGATGAATAGGACTTTATTAGACAAACCATGAAATTCTGCATCGAATAGACTGTTTTATAGATTTTTACTATGCGACATTATTAAAGCCTTTGCTCGGTGAGGGATAAATAACAAGATTCGGACCTTTTTCCAGATTTCTTCAAACATAATACATATTGAAAAGAGCTTCATTCGACAAACTATGAAATACTGCATCGAGTATTGTACTTTAGAAAACGCCCACAAAACAGGTGATCAGAACTACCTTATAAACCGACTACACATGCACCGACTACACTACAAGTGTGATTTATTGAACATTGTCGTCGGTTGCAAGTTAATTTTAGCATGCAGTATACAGTAGATTGTAGTATATTAATACAATTTGAAATGTTTCAACATCTTTCACTATCAGAATAAGTTTGGGATGAAGCTAATATAATTATCCAGTCTAAAATGAACTCAATCTTAGACAGATGAGTATCGTCGCTTTTCTTTAGCAGATAGAATCTCCGGATTATGTTTGCATGACACTGATGACACTTGGCAGGATAAATTTCTGCTTCACTAATTAGTATTAGTCTAAGATACGTTTACGGGCTAGTAGAGAATTAAATTCGGAACAAGAAAGGTTCCAAGTTAACTCCCAATGCAATCAGTCAAGTGAACTATACACCAGTCTTATTTGCACTTGAATTTTGTATACTATACAAAAACTGTTTTTCTTCCCTATACAGCGACCAACCTGAAGTTCTAACAACTTTCTCGAAAATACCTTTATTTTGATTCATCCAGTCTTACTTAACTTAAATAAATAACATTTTCTAGCACAAAACAAAAGTCAAATTCTTAGACACAAAACATTTCAAAAATATAGGTACAATTTTTTCTCGTACTATAAAACTTTAAAAGACAGTGGAAGACATTTAAACTTGATGACCCTGGTTAAACGTGTTTAATATCTCCATACAAATAACCTGACTATGACTCTTTATCGACAGTTTCCAAACCGGCTGACAGCGAAGATTCGAACGATATCATTGATCTAATCAAATCAATTAATTTTGGCTTTACAGCGTTTCTATCTGCAAAATTTTCATAACTTTCAATTAATTTTTTAAGTAAGTCTTTTGAAACAGCCTTATCGGTTAATTCGTACACCTGGTTAGTTAAATTTTTTATGGCTTCATCATTTGTTCTCATTTTTTCTTTTATATATGGAATACTTCCGATTGCTTGATATTCTTCGAGAATGGCCAATTTTTTTCTTGAACTTCGCTGATTGATCCAAGACGTCGATATTCATTTAACATTTGTATTCTTTGATAATCGAGATCTGAAATATACAGCAGAGTAAATGATAAATACACAGTCAGATCTTACACTTTCCAATGAGTTTTTCTTCAAAAATTCATTGCATTACCGAACTATAATTTTCCTGATCTAGTTTCACTCGACAATAGACGACTAGAAAGTCAAGCAAACCTGTAGGTCTAAAGAACGACTACAAGAGAATTTGCTTTTGTGCGGCTGAACCAAACAACTATATGAAGCTAATCAAATCCGTTCTTGAGCCACCACGACTGAAACCTTCTTAAACAGATAAGGGAAGCGATCACATTTCATTTTCTGTATTTTTATATCTTATCTCAAGACAACCACAGAGAAAACTCCTTTTTGTTTTTGTGAGAAACATAAGAGATAAGTAGAAGTTTGGCAGCTCCACTGAAGGCGAGAAGAGGACGTTTCTGCCCAAATATAGATCATAAGTCAAAACCTTCCAACTTTTTTCTTCTAATCACTTGTTTCAATCATTCAGCTCAAATTAGTGAAGTCTTTTAGTTTCTCGTACTTAGACCTGATTGAACATTACGAATGTTGAAGTTTGATGAATTACTAGTGATATTGACATTCTGAAAAGAGAGAATATAGAAGAATGATAGCAGAAACTATTCAGGAACTTTTTAGACGCTTAATATGCTGGCGGTGGTGAATTAATTCGTCGTTTCTGTTATTCTGTCTCTATTTATAGATTAAAAAAGTTGTAGATAGGTTAAAAAAGTTCATTTCTCAACAGCCGACGTCATCTGAAAATAATGAATACATCAGACTCGTTCTCGGACGGTAATATGAGGCGCTTAATTAGTATATGTGCCATTGATTTGAATCTATTACCGTCTTTCTGTAATGCTTCAGAATTTAGATTGTCCATAATAAAGATGAAGAAAAAGAGTTCTTGAAGAGAATGCTTGCTTAAGAGTTTCCTTCAGCCGAATTTTGTAGAAACGGAAAGTATGCAATATGTTTGGATTTTATCTAACTATATTACCTAGTTTATTAATAGAACATTCCAAGGTCTGATCGACTGGCACCCTTGTAAACGGTCTCCTGGTTCTTTGGACGGTAAACACTTTCGATAAATAATCATATAAATGAAGTGGCATGATTGATAGGTCTGACAAGTTTCTGGCACCAAGTTTCGCATAGCGCAATCTATTGTGTGTAAAAAATAAAGGAACCATTCTACTCCAGGCGGCATTTTTCGCACTGGAATTTTGAGAACGAACTGCAGCTAATAATTCAATGGCAAATTCTAGCAGATTTTTTAAAATATAGAACCAGAACTTAAAATTATTATTGGACGATGATTTTGCTGTACAAAAGTCTTCAAATTTTTCATGTAAATTAGACGTTGATATAACTGTTTGCAAATCATTGAACCGTTTTTTTTTTCAGTTGATCTTTGGTAAAGTAAGTGGGTAATTCTTTTATCAAAAGGGTTAAATCTTGAGTGACAGATGTGGATGATGACGTTATAAATGTTTTAACACATAACATGCTCGGTGCAGTGTATAATAATTTAATGGTACGTAACGACTTATTAAAATTTGAGACTTCCATAACAGATCTCAGCGTCGCTGCTTGATATAAGTGCCTAATTAGTTCGTGCACTCCAGAACCAGCAAGCACCTTCCATATCATAATCATCCAGTTTTTAAGTGCATGAAAATCTCCGGCCATAAGATAGATATGCTCAAACTCTTTAAAGTGTAATCTTTAACTTTTGTTACTAAATGGTACATTCCTTCATCCATGAACATCTCTATATCGTTCTAAAATAATAACACAAGAGAGATAGTTTATCGGATGCAGTAAACAAATTCGTGCACGCTTTTAGACCTCTTCCTTGATTATGTATGAGAAATTTTTCTCGCTGACACTGTAAAAAATAATTAAGGTAAAAAGTGGAAAAATGCAGGATCCATAATATTCCGCATCGTGATATTTATTCTGGGCTATTCTACCATATTGTGAGCAAAATTTTAGTAAAGTTCTCATTATATCTCACAGTCGTGCAAAATGCTGTAACAGTTTATAATTTTTCACGAAATTGTGCCATATTATCAGACATAATGGGAATTCTGCTAAAATTTTGCTCAGAATATGGTAGAATATCCCAGAAAAAACATCACGATGCGGAATATTGTGGATTCTGCATTTTTCTGCTGTTTACCACTTTTTATCGTAATTATTTTTTACAGTATGTCTGCTATCTTATACTTCTTTGTTGAGATCTGTCTTTTTGTGTAGATACATGTATTCAAACTTGTTTTCTCGTGGGTAGCTAAGATACAAAATCCACCTGACCAGAAGCTGAAAAAACCTTTTACACCTTTTTTTTGCATAATTCAGCAGTGTGTGAAGATAAAAGTTTTCTCCAGAGAAGTATTGTACATGAAAATTGTGATTTGGTTGTTTTTAAAATAGTGTAGGCCGCTTCATCTGATGTGGACGTTTCATTTATTGGTGAGCACTATGTCACTTCACGATGTTGTTGTTCTTCAAATATTAGGTAGGAACCAAGAAATCTGGAGAGTAGAGGGCACAGTGGGGAATTTTGGCTAGGGCAGGCGGACATATGCTATTAATTTAATAATAACTTTTGATAGAAAAGAGCTAGAGAGCTCTGGTCTTCGCCATTCAAAAGAGGAGACTTGAAAGCACGCTTTCATAACCAACATTGTTTCCAGAAGAGTGGTCTAAAATAAATTTTCTAGGAGATCTTTGGAAAACTAGGCCATCTGTAAAAATTTTCCAATAGAATTATATTACTGTTTTTATGCACTTATAGCCCGAGGTGTTCTTTTCAAAATAGGAGTAAAGTGAGACCTTGATTTCCCGCGGTTCGGACGTTGTATCGAATTTCCTACGAGTCCCAGGACTGGCATCCGGTGGCTATTGGTATCCTTGAAGACGGATGGAATATGGGTAATCGACCATGCTGAGCCTTTTGGCAATGTTTGTTTTTAGAGAAGTTATAGCTGTGTTTCTCCTCAAATACTGAACAAAACATGACGAAATTTTTTCAATGTTTAAACTCGACTTGTTTGTACAATACGTAAATTTTTATCGGAGATG